GAAAAAAAAAGAAAAAAAAAAAAAAAAAAAAAAAGAAGATTCTACTATATGATGAATAGACCACATTTTTCCCTAATCCCTCTGACAAGCATAAATAAAAATAAGATACAGTATAGATGGTATTTTTTTTCTTTTTCTTATGTTTTTAAAAAATGTTATAATAGGCAAAAAAAAACCCTAGAGACATAAGCTGGGCCATTATCTGTCTTTATTTGTGCAGGTATACCCATGATGGCCATAACTTCTAATAGATGTGTGATTACTAAATCAGCCTTTTCTGAGCTTAAAGCAGTTGCCCACTGAAAACCTGAATAAGTGTCAATGGTGTGGTGTACATATTTTAATTTGCCAAATTCTGCAAAGTGGAACACATCCATTTGCCAGATTTCATTCCTTTGAGTGCCCTTCACGTTAGTCCCTGCAGGTAGTTGTGTTTGCTTATAGAAAGAACAAGTAGGGCATCTCTTTACAATCTCCTTAGCTTGTTTCCATGCAATAGAAAACTCTTTCTTTAAACCTTTGCTATTGACATGATTTTTTTTATGAAATTCTGATGCCTGTAGCATGCTTCCAATCAATAATTGATCAATTTCTGCATTACCTTGTGCTAGAGGACCTGGCAGACCCATATGGGATCGGATATGTGTTATGTACATAGGACAAAGCCTATTCCTGATTATGTCTTGCACCTGGATAAACAATGAAGTCAGTTCTGTGTCATCTGGTATAAATTCAGTGGTTTACTCCTTCAATCCTAGGTGGCCACTGGGGCTTGCTTCTGCCTTAAATAATCATGCTAGGAACATGGATGGTGTCCTCTCCCCCCACCCTCCAGTGAAGGACTTTGGGTTTGCCTCTCTTTTAGAATTAAAGCAACACTGAGCAGGAGGTACCCCCCCACCCATGCACAGCTTCCTGTTGTCAATCCTATCATTAACTTAGCCCAGTGGTTATGATCCCCATACTACTCAGTACTGACCAGTATCCAAGGTTTACTTGAGGACCTGTCTTAGATGGCCCAAGCACAGAGTCAGTGTCCAAATGGTTATTAAGTTGAATTAAAATTATATCAATGTGACGTGACGCCAGGTGATGGTGGCGCACGCCTTTAATCCCAGCACTCAGGGAGGCAGAGGCAGGAGGGTCTCTGTGCTCTCGAGGCCAGCCTGGTCTACAAGAGCTAGTTCCAGGATAGGCAGAGATACACAGAGAAACCCTGTCTCGAAAAACCAAATAATAATAATAGTAATTGAAGGTTGGCGAGATGGCTGAATAGATAAAAAACATTTGCCACCAATCCCAAAGACCTGAGTTCGATCCCACGACCTACATAGCAGAAGGAGAGAACCCACTCCCACAGGTTGTCCTTTGACCCCAATATGTGCACTTTTAAAATGTCCCACAAATAAAATAAATAAAATGTAATAAGTTGTAGAAATAAAGATATTTCCGTTCATCAAGGCGTTAATACTTTAATTATTTAGTTAAGTTTTCCTTTGCAGACTAAGCTGTGACAATGCTGTCCTCAGAGAGAATCTGAAGGTGAAAACAGAAGAAATTAAAGTGCTCAAGTCTGAAAATGCTGGTGAGTAATGGATTTTAATGATTCTTTTAAAATACGTTAGCCTGGGGTGGTGGCGAATATCTTTAATCCCAGCACTCGCTCGAGGCAGAGACAGGTGGATCTCTGAGTTCAAGGCCAGCCTGATCTACAGAGTGTACAGCCGGGGCTACACAGAAACCTTGCCTCTAAAAAAGTAATAATAATATATGTTTAAAGACAGCAAATATAGAATATACTGCAGCAAGAACACTTGTCAATATCAACAGAGTGCTAGTATTTTGAAGTAATATAATTTAGGGAAAATAAAAATGTATCCTTTAGATTTTTTAAAAGATTTCTTAAATAAGACTATCAAGGTGAAATCCATACAACATCAAATTAATCCTTTAATTGTTTAAAATAAACAACTGGGCAAGCTGTGGTGGTACTCACCCCTTAATCCCAGCACTCAGGAGGCAGGGGTAGGTAGATCTCTGTGAGTTTGAGGCCAGCCTGGTCTACACAGTTTAACAACAGCCATAGGCTACATGGGAGATTCTGTCTCAAAAAAAAAAAAAAAAAAAAAAAAAAAAAGAAAGAAAGAAAAAAAGAAAGAAAGAAAAAAAAAAAACAGCAACTGGGAGGTGTTGGTGAAGGGAGTGGGAGGTGAATATATCGAAGTACATTGTGTCCACGTCTGAACTATAGTTCTTGAAAACTCTAAAGTAAAAGCGATTAATTCAGTAGTGCTGGCAAACTGTGTGCGCGGTCAGTGCCCTCGATCTTTCTACAATTTTCTGAAATATTCCAAAGTAAAGGCTGTGCACAGTTCCTCTCCACCATCCCTTCGGTCCAGTTTGGGAGGCTGAGGCAGGAGGATTGCCGTGAGGTAGACACAGTCTGGGCTCCAACGCCCGGCCGTGTGTGTACTCTTAGGTGTAAAGTCTGTTTGTTACACAGCCCGTATACAATGAGCCACCTTATGGTCAACATTGGAAGAGCCCTGCTGGTACTGATTCTTGTAACAGATTTTAAAGAAAAGATGCTAATTCCTCCCCTCAGCAGAAACTAAGTGACCTTTTGAAGGAAACAAACCCTGAATCAGCGTGGCTCAGAGGCTCCTGGTGCTCACGCAGTGCCCAGATGAGATCTGGACACACGTGTGTCTGAGCATCCAGCTGTACCTCTGGTAGTCTAGGGCAGAAGGTTCCAGAATCACAAGCCCCCCCTCCTTTCTTCCCCCTTGCTCACTCTGCCTCGAGAGGAAGGTTACTGTTCTCCAGTGAACAGTATCCCTTCCCTTTCTTTCTGACCATGGTGAGGGCCTCTCCTATGAAAACCGTTTTGTTTCTTGAGACAGGGTCTTACTAGGCAGCCCCAGTGATCAGACTGGCCTAGAAATCACCATCGCACCCAGCCCTCTGTGGAAACGCTGTTGTTCTTTGTTCCAGACAGGGTTCTCTGTGTAGCCCTGACTGTCCTGGAACTCACTCTGTAGACTAGGCTGGCCTTGATTTTACAGAGATCTGGCTGCCTCTGCCTCCCAAGGGCTGGGATTGGATTAAGGCTTGTACCACCACCGCCCAGCCCGATGTATTTTTCTAAGCCATAGACTCTTCCAAGCGCATAAATTAATGCCTTTCACCCATTCAGTGTCTCAGAAAGATTTATGCTGATAATTTTCCACGAAATGCTCTTTTGTTTGTTTTTTATCTGAAGGTATTATTTCTCTTTCTATAGGAAATAAATGCCTTGCAGTGGGAAATGGAATTTGATCAGGATAGATTTAAAAATATAGAGGAATCGTGGATCCAAAAGTATGACAGGTTTGTATACTGATGGCATTGAAAACTAAACCTAGGGCCTGTGCATGCTGTCCGATTACGTCACACCCGAGGCCCACCCTCCTTGGGCACAGCTGATCCTCAGCCTGGGTAGGTATAGTATATAGTCCATATAGGTAGGTATAGTCCATAATTCTTATTGCTGATCTACTTACCATTTCCATATTTTTCTGTTGTTTTCCTAGTACTGCATATATAGTAGAGCCAGGCATTGTGGCAAGGCACACACCAAGGATGCTGCTCAGTGGTAGAGGGCCTAGTTAGCATTTGTAAAGCAACAATGGTAAACAAAGCAGCCTGGGGAGATGGCTCAGTGGTTAAAGTGTTTGCCTCACAAGTGTTGAGGACCTGAGTTCAGATCCCCAGGACCCTTGTGAAACGGCAGGCATGGCGGTGCCTTTATCTAGAGTCCCAGCCCTCCTGGCCAAGGTGGCCAGCGTGGATGACAGACTGTACTTCAACAATGTTTGGGAGCAGTGAGACCCCAGATCCAGAATTTCTTGTAATCCCCTGATCTGAGTGCCTACAGCTGCTCTGAGCACAAGACCTTCAGGAGTTCCTGATGGCAGGAGAGTGGTTTCTGGTGGGTTTGGCTAGGGCGCGTGACTATCTCTATATAATCTGCCCCTGAACACAATAAAGGGGGTGTTCTTGGGGAATTCAAGGATGACCTGTGTTGCTGTCTCTCTGTCTGTGTATTTTAACCTCCAGCCCCCTTGCCCGAAGCTCGCGAACTGGGTGCCAGCGCACAAAGCGCAGACATGGGGGTGCAGTGTGCAGCACAACAAGGTCCTGCAAACTCCTCCATGGTATAGAGTGTTTCACAATCTCTCTCCAACATCCAAGAAGATTCCACTAGCCGGGCGGTGGTGGCGCACGCCTTTAATCCCAGCACTCGGG